ACAGAGCGCACACACACACACACACACACACACACACACACACACACACACACACTCACCCGCCCCGAGCAGAAATGGGCGGGACAGACACACTCACCCGCCCCGAGCAGAAATGGGCGGGACAGAAGCAGAAAGAGGTTCTTAAAGAGACAGAGGCCAATTTCAAGGTGTTTAGGAACAGATATGATGAGAAGTCAAGTTTATTTTCTATTTAAATATATAAACAACATTTTAATAACACCTGAAGGTGACATAGTTACTTTATTATGGTATAGAATTTAAATACATGCCTGAGAAACACGTAATATTGCCCCTTTAAACAGCTCCATTTGACCATATATAAAACTAACTTCATTCAAAAAACAAACAAAAATAATTAGCCTGGCCCTTGCCTTTCTACACAGTTCCACTCAATAGTTTCCCTTCTCTGCTCCGTCTGGGATTTCTCCCATAGACAAGGATTTCTCCGGTAGAATTTTAGCCGGGCCAATCAGCGAACAGAAGGAGGAGTTGTGAACGACAACGTCAATTTTCTGTGCCGATTTAGTCTGCTTGTAGTTTAGCAATGGCAGCAGAGGAAGTGACTGAAGCCAAGTCTTCCAAAATGAATAAAATGTGTCTCACAAAGTCTGCAGCACTCATTTACGGCCATCTTGCCCGGCTCGGTACTTCTCTCCACCCAGCAGGGGATGGTTGTTTACAGAGCAAGCAAACCCCGCTTAGCTTATAGCTTTTCCTTCACTGTCAAGCTGGCCCACGACATACATCACGGCCAAATGTTAGTGATTAGCTAAATCAGATCCAACTGTTTTAAACTTCAACAGAGGCCACACCTCCAGCAAAAAGTCTATTCTCAATGGTCGAGCTTCCAGACCCTAAGTGTGAAGTAAAGTGAAGAACAAGGGGCTGTTTTTTTCCAGGTTAACACAAAATAGGATTATTTCTGTTTCACTGTACGTTTACACTGGTACATTCATAATACTCACCAAAGATCTAATGCATCTAGTGTCAGGTTTGTGATGCTGGAACCTACTCCCCTATCATTAAATGTTGGTGAACGGGCAAAGTCGATGTACTGAAGTCTCAGCTTTTTAATAGTGGTCCCTTGGAGATTCATTAAAGCCATTCTCAGGATGTTCTCGTTGAATTTACCTCTATGAAAGATGAGCTGATGGGCATCGATGTTTTTTAAACCCTGGAAAATGTCTTTATCACCCATGTAGTACATGAACTCAAAGAGGTTGCGGAACTGAATGGTTCTTATCTTCTTGTTGGCCAGATCACGCAGCATATCCAGCAGAGCTTCGGGACGTTGATCTATGGCCATATCAAAGCCCATCTGTCCCGTCTGAATCTCTTCTAAACTTCCAAGCTCATAGTAGCTGAGATTAGAGGAGCACTTTATAGCAAACGCTTGCAAACTGATGTTCTTCAAGGGCTGAAAGTCATTTTTCTTCAGACCCATCACCAGAGGACCACCCATCGACAGAACCTGGAGTTTGACATATTTAGAAAAGCTATCTGCCAAAGTGGCATGCTTATAAAGGTTATTGGATATGTAGAGATTTTTTAGATTTAGGAGAGGTGACAGAGGTGCTGCAGGAATTTCCGGCAGTGAGTTATTAAAGATGTTAACATGCTCCAGCAGCATATTACTTCTAAAGGCATCATTGTCAATGGATGAGATGTTGTTGTACTGCAGCTGGAGGACGCGGAGCTGAGTGAGGTGCTGGAAATCACTGGCATGGATAGCATGAAGCTTATTGTAGGAGAGATCTATGTTTTCAAGCGTGGCTGGAAATTGTTTTCGAGGCACACTGTCAAGTTGTCTCCCATGGCAGTCTGCAGAGCGGCCAGAGTTGTAGATCCGACATGGTCCAGCTTCCTCGGTGGGGTCGGGAGGTGAGGATGGAGTGAGGGAGGAGAGAGCTCCAATGAAAAGAGCACTGAAATGAATCAATTTCCACATCATTGTGATGGATCTGGAAAGGAATAAAAGCAGGAAACATTCACTTAAAGCATTGTATTTTTACTACAGAAGGAAAGTGAGAAAGCCTATGATTTTTTTGGTCAATCTGAAAATAATCCAAGAAACATGAAACATACCAAGTTTTCTAATTTTTGACTAAAATGTCTCAATCTAATCATCTTATTGTTAGATTTTACATTCATTAAAAGTCAGGCTAATATTCTTTTAAGAAAACCAAAAATATGTAGCTTTTTTCCTGAAAAGTCGTAAAAAAATGAAACATGCAGATTTATTAAATGTATTTGTTGCAAGCCACTTTTTTATAGCTTCATACCTCCAGGGGGTCTTGGTGTGATAAAAGTTCAATAAAACTCCCCCATTATAACACGCTTGATTTAGAACAGGGGTGCGCAAACATTTTTCCGGAGAGGGCCAAAATTAAAAAACATTTTTCCTGAGAGGGCGAAAATTAAAATCAGTCTGTGGGCCGCGGGCCAAATGCAATAACATAAGAAATGGTTAATACTTAAGTAAAGTTGTTTTATGTTTTATGATTAAGCTAGCAGCCAGTGTGGTTGCCTATATTCTTTAGTTTTTTGTTTCAGCCCACGGACATGGAGGAAATTCAATGCATGCTCAGGCAGCAAAGGCTCATGGGACTTTTCATAATTTAAAATTTGAGTATATGTATGTGGTCTTATCTAATCTAAATGTCTCATGTAGTTACTTGTATTTATTTAATCTTAACATAATTACAATCTAGTAACCAGGACAACTGCTGGTGGGCCAAATAAAATGGCTCGGCAGGCCAATTTTGGCCCGTGGGCCCCACTTTTGGCACCTCTGATCTAGAACCAGATGGGGTTTTACTAAAGCGCACAAACATTTTTTGGTCAGTTTTTTTTTTTTTCGTTTGTAAACTTTTTATAAGATGACAGCATTAAGGCTTCAGACAAAATGATTTGTTAAAGCAATATAAAGTTTTAAATAAATAAAATAAATGCTGAGAGAGAACACTATATAAGAGAAATGATTTCCCCCCAAAATACATTGATTGGTTAAAATAATTAATTGTCTAGTAAATTATGTGTTATTTTGATGACTGAACCAACTGCACATATTTTTCTGGTTGTATTAACCTTGTAAAATAAGGAGACAGTTTAATGCAATGTAGGCTGCATAAATTATGCATTTTATTGAAAAGCTTATCTTTTTTAAATACTTTTTTAAAATAAAACCGTTTACATTATTTAACACTAATGTAGAGCTTCATAACACCTGCTTAACAATCAGCATTAGTTATAACAGTCTCATAAAGTTCCCAAGCAAATAAATGCTTACATAAAGGCACATATATTTTCTGTATTTAAAGTTATTAATGAAGAGATGTTTTGAATAAGTCTGTTAGAAATTTGATTATATTTTATTGCTGTCCATGAATCCAATTTATTGATCCAAAAATCATTTTTTAGCTTTGAAATCAAACTTTCTTTCAGACCAAAGTCCTTGCTTAGTCAGCATTAAATATATATTAAAGTAAATCTCTGACCATATATCTGCACAGAAACAAAGCATCATCTGAAATGAATAAAAAATGCTTTAGTTTAAATTTGAAACATCTATGCTATAAATTTCACATTTACTTGTCAACAATTTCATTTCAAAATACAAACAAAGCTTCATCAAACCTGCAGTCTGAGCTCTCAGTTGGTTTCACTATAACCTGCAGGGAAGCTTCTATTTTGTAAAAACAGTGTAGAGATTTTGGGGCTTGACTCATGTTCACCAATAAGAAAATCTTCCTGTTCTTGTCAAGGACAGCTCTGCTGGTTAATGTCCCCACCATTGTGCATTTGATCTTGTTTCATTTTTAAACTTCCTGTTTTATTTTGTACACTAACTTCCTGTCTCATTTCAGACAACTTCACTTCCTGAGATTCCCTCTAATCACCACTGCCACACCCTAATCTCATACACCTGTATCACATGTCCTCCTTTGTTCATTTTTACCTCACACCATGCAGCTCCCCTTTGCCAGTTCGTCTTCATCCTTAGTGTTAAGCGTTCCAGCATTTATTCTACTTTGTCTTCCAGTGAACTTGACCCAGCTTGTATTTTGGATTCGTCTCTGCCTCTGTTTTGGATACCTTAACCTGGACTGCCACTTTGTGTACCGACCCTGGACCCAATAAACGGATTATGATTTTGAGTGACTGTGTTGAGTCTTGCATTTGAGTCCTTTTATGTGCCGTACGACAGTTCTTTGGTATTCAACCTCATTTGTGAACAGAAAGTGAACAATCATGCTAGTGATGCTCCAGATCCCATTGCACATCTGCATGTTATTATTCTGTGTTGCAATCAGGGATGCGTTGCGTTTCCATGAATTTACAGAACACATTATGCTTGACACAGGTATTTTTAGTCATCTGTTTGTTCGCCTTTTTCTTTAGAAAATAGTTTGGCTTGCTGCCAGATTTGCACAATATGAGCAGCAAAAACAAATGAGAAAAACACCCTGAGGAAGTGAAGGAGGAAATCTGATGCTTCAATAAATTAGAAAAGGTCAAATCAACAAAATTATCCAAAGTTTACTTTGGGAAAAATATCATGTGGTTTTATCAATTCATTTTATGAGGAAGAGGAAGCTGTAAAATATTTATAAACTAAACAAGAATTGGCCTGACACAGTTTGAATTTGCGTACAAACTCTTCGTGTCAGAGCTGGAGCAGATCTAATTAAACTGTAAATCAATAGAAAGACTGCTTTTATTTAGGTGTCTCTGAGGGGGGACCTGTTAGCCTGTCACTGATTTATAAACAGGAATGAAGAAAACAACTGTAATGTCGCTGATTTCATCAGAGACCACATCACTCAGACAACTCTTACAAAATCAGTTCATTCATCCATTTTTGCTGCTCAACTGTGCTTGTGTCACAAAGGCAACAGGTCCAGAAGGGAAACCCAGACATCCGTCTCCTCTGTGACATTCTCCAGGCCTGAAGGGATACATTACATAATCCCTCTAGTGAGTTCTGGGTCTGCTGTGGTTCTCCTCAGTTTAGGAAATACTGACAGAACAGTTGGGGAAAGTGCATGACCAGATTTTCAAAAAAAGCTCAAATTTTGACACTTTTTAGCACTTTTTGTGGATGCCAGATGTAAATAGCTTCATAAGTTCAATATTAGTTACTTGGATTTAGTTAAGCAATCAGTTTCTAACATTATGTAACCAAAAAACAGAACTGAAGCAAAAGATCTGGCGATTATGGTCAAATATTATATAGACATAGTCAAAGCCAAGATTTTTAGCATTAATCTTGAATTCTGACTTTGTGTCCAGGAGAAATTTTATAAGAAATGGGTTTTTTATACCTGGTAGGGATGAACTTTAACGGGGTACCAATAAAATTGCTGGTACCTTTTATGCAGATAAACATGGTCTATCCCTTGGACTATCAGTGGGACATGCCTGAACAACCCTCAGATTGAGGCATCCAGGAGACATCATAATCAGATTCCTGACCCTCCCCAGCTGATCTGGACAACAGAGGCTGAGCCTGGCCACCCTACAGAGCAACCTCATTTTATCTGCTGGCATCTGAGTTTTTTTTTTTCTTGCAATCATCGACCACGCCTCATGACCAAGTGTTGGAATGTAGATGGACCAGTACATTTAGAGCTTTACCTGAACAGACAAGAACAATGCTTCATTAATGCTGACAAGGCCTTGATCTGTCATGCCATCTCCCATTTCATTCTAACATCTCTTGGAAACAAGACTCTCAGATACTTGGACTCCACCTCTCAAGACAAAGGTTCTGCCCTGACCACCATTTTTAGTTGAGAGACATGGCCTTGGACAAACTGACTCTCACCTCAGTGAACTTCAAAGATCAGGGCCTAAAACCACAGACAGAACCACATCATTTGAAGAAAATAAATAAATAAAGAAATGAGATGAGACCCTGAGGCTCCCAAGCTTGGCAACCTGGACGTGTCCAAATCCATGGGCTGCATCCTCTGAACGCTGGATTTGTTGGTCGCTTAGGTCACAGCGCCTCACTGGAGGCTGTCCAAATTCAGACTCCTCTGATGCGGCAAACACATTTGAAGGACAGATCCAATGGATCCTTCTTGGTCCATCATATCCCATAATGCATTGTGGGCCAACCAGAGTTTTTTTTCTGCTCGTAATTTTGCTAATTTCAATCTGTTTTTGCTCTTGTTTAGCATATGGTTACAGGCGACAGGACATACGCTGGGGTAAGGGCGGGAAATAAAGCAGAAGACTAGGCCGCCCAAATTCACAGCTATTTTTTTTCCAGTCTTTGCGTCAACCATGGACCTGGCCCACCTAGACCGGGTAGGCCAGGTCCTTCGAAGGGCCCAGCCCCTGAATTTGGATGGAGCCCCTGTCTCTATGGCTGTGCACTGAGATCCTGTCCATTAACACCACAAACAGGAGCAGAGATGAGGGACAGTCCTGTTGGAACAAGAACAACTGATTCCATCATTAATTAAACTGGGTTCTGTCTGATATGACCTGGAGCGCATCTTGCTTTACAGCCACCTCTGCTATAGTGGCCAACAGTAACTGGCAAACAGCTCATAGCATGTGTTAGCATCATTAGGCTTTTATATCCACGTCCCATTATGCAGCACAAAGGATGTTTCTGGCTGCAGACTCGTGTCACTGCTGACTGTTCTTGATCCTGGTTTAATGAGGCTCCGTGTTTACATGCTGTGCACAAACACAGCTGCATGCATGCAGGAACTCTGAGCTTCTGGATCAACATGTTCATCTTTCACAGCACAGCAACAGATGCTCTTTATATTTGTGTTAAGGCCTTTCCTGTCAAACATCAAGATTTATTTCTGACTACCTCGTTGAAAGGAACATTTAATTGGAATACAGCGTCCCTGTTATGCAGGTTTGATTACATGTACTCAGTGGTGTTTACAGAAGCCAATTGTCTTTTTTATGTTTTTATGACATCCCATAACATTATAGACTTAAAATCTAACAAGACATTAAAACTATTTTCTAGCAAGGAAAGTATGCACAGTTTGATGAGCCAGAAAAGTATACTCCTTAGATTTTGTGGTTTATGGCATCATTATCATGACGTGACAGTTGGTTTGGCAAAAAGCAATGTTTTCCTCAGTCATGAAATTCTGTTTGACTTCATAAAAAGAAACAACTCATAGCATTAACAAACCTGCTACTTTGTTTCAGTGCCAGAACTTTGCCCATACATTTGGCTCGTTGTGACTGACAACTAAAAGGAAAATGGCCACTGCAAATATTGTTATGACATCTTACATTAAAGCAAACAAAAAGAAAGCATTAAAAATTAAATAAATCTGTCTGTTTTGTCTGCCTGATTTAACTTCCTACAAGAATTCTTTGTACTATATTGGACAAATTGGTATTTTATTTGACTTGTCAAAAACTGCTGAATAATAAGAAACAAGCTGGGACAAAAACTCTGACTTTTCCAAGCAAAGTGCCATCCTGTTAACTTATCAAAAAGCTCCTGAATTGTTGCTGTTTTAATAAGTTTAAGCTTCCTAAAGTAGCTGATAGTAAATGAAATTGTTCATGAAAAAAACTACTTGTTCTAACCCGAAAAGGAGGTTAGAAAGTTACAACTCATTTACTAAGCTGTATTTTTCCTCTGTAAGTTACCTATATTTACTTTGTTTTAACAGCATGTTCTGTTTCAGATAAATGCTCAACAGTAATCAGGTTTTATAATGTGTGGAGATCATGAGAAAACTATTTTTTGAGAAAAACTGCTGAAACTAAGATAATGTCATGACATTAATTTTACTATAACAGAAAATGAGAATAACATTAAAATTTGACTTATTAATGGAGTCTGAGTTCACCTGCAGCTCTCAAAATACTTCAGCCTAAAGCTCACATCTGTTTTGACAATAAAACCGTGACGAACCACCCACCATTGTTCAATCCAGAGCCATGCTTTTTTTCTTCTCTTAAGATAACCTTGCCAATGCCAATATGTGTTTTTTGTAAGTCAGTTTGTTCCCAGAAACAGCAGAGCCACTTGAATAGGGGAAGTGAAAAGAGCAAACATAGCCACTTATCAACACTAAACCAGTCTTGAGCAACACATCATTTAACCTCCAGTTACTCAAACCAAGCTGAGCAAGAGGTTACACTGTGAGAGGCTGAGAAACTGATTTTATTATTATTATTATTATTATTATTATTATTATTATTATTATTATTATTATTATTATTAATAATAATAATAATAATAATAATAATAATAATGATAATAATAATAATCTACGTCAAAATTAAAATTTGAAATAAGCCAGTTAAATTGATGGTGTGTTTTGGTCAGCTGACTTGTTTTTTCTATTAAAGTTGTTTTATAGCATCCAGACACAGTTTTATAGAGAACTAAAAAAAAATCCGAAATGTCAGTTTTATGAAAACGATGCTTAAATTTGTTTACCTTGAATTGGCGAGATTGTCTAAAAACTTAACTGTTTCTCTCACATCCAGGTTATCATGATGTTTATTCATTTTATTTATATTTCCATTATTACAAAGTACAACTAAAGCTGTGACATCCAGGAGTTTTAACTCTATAATCACCATAAAACATACATGTTTTTACAAAAGAAACAACTCATATGGGCAGTTTCCTAATAAGAAAATTTTAAATAATTTCATATATATATATATATATATATATATATAGCATGAAACTAATATTTAGGTATTTACTCAGACTGCATGGTTCCATCTTCACACCCAGTCTCTGATGCTGATTTCAGCTTCAGTTCTCTGAAAGCATCCTCCACATGCAACCTATTCATTTATCATTCATTCAAAACTTCTCTTTTGGAAGCTGTTTTATAAAAATTCTCTTTGTTCTGATTGCAACAAAAGATTGACAAAACAATGCAAACAAAATACATAAAAGACACAATTGTGCAATTACCTCTGTGAAATAATCTGTTCTTTTTCATTTGGATTTTTTTATTTTTTTTGCCTTACGTTACATCCAAATCCACTAGATTTGTATCCTAAATGATTAGATTTAAACATACAAGAGAAACGACTCACCGAGCAGTCAGACTTCTCCTTTTCAGAGTTCCACACGATGCATTTGACTCTGTGTTGTGTTAAAACGCTGCGTAAAAAAAGCAGCTCAACTCTGAATGAGTTAGCCCGTGGCAGCTCCTGTCAGCTCACATCACTGCCTCCCTCTCTTTCCACCCCTCTCTCTGTCTGCCTCCTTTCGTCCTTTTCGCTCTCCCTCCAGCTTGTGTGTGTGTGTGTGCGTGTGTGTGTGTGTGTGTGTGTGTGTGTGTGTGTGTGTGTGNGTGTGTGTGTGTGTGTGTGTGTGTGTGTGTGTGTGTGTGTGTGTGTGTGTGCGCTGCTCAGGAATGTGGGGAGTATCGAGGGAGGATTGTCCATCTCAGCATGCCAGGTTTTTCTACAAGTCATTTGGAGAAAGTAAGGACAGCTGTAACTATTTTCTCAATCGTGCAGGTTAGGTATTACTTTTTGGCCTTTATCATTGCATCAATCATCAACCAGGAATCGAACAAAAGTTCCACAGAAAAGCTTTTTTATTGGAAGCCTGAGGCCTTCCTGCTAACAACACACATAGACAATAATTCAGAAAGAATTTAAACTGCTGACAGGAATTCCCATAAGTAGCTGGACAAACAACATGAAAACAATCTTACCACCACCAGGGGTGTGTTTTTATGTCTGAAGGAGAGGACGAGGTGGGGGGCAGAGTATATACACACAAAGGTATACACACAAAGGATTGACTGACAAACATGAGGAACAGGTACAAAGAAGTGGTAGAAAGAAACATCATTATTTACCTATACCCGATTCTTCCTTCAGGGTCACTGGTCCTCATACCCAGCAGTCCTTGTGTGAGGGATGGGGTACGCCCTGGATTAAATGGAAGTCCATCTCATGACCTCACAGTGACAACCGAGGCAACCTTACACAACCTCACTCATGCCAAGAAACAAATTAGCTGCAATTAATCTAACATGTATTTTTTTAGTCTGTGGGAGAAACACACACAGAAAAGCCAGGGGGCAAACCTGTGACCTTATTGCTGTGAGGCAGCCGCGTTAACCACTGAACAACTGTGTCACCCCATAAAGTAACTAAATTGATTAGAACACCATAATTCTAACATCGCAGAATGATTTCTTTTTCACAAACAGACTTTTTTTCCTCCTTGGAAAACATTAATGATCATGAAATAAATCCAGTTTCTAAATGTTATAAAATCCCACATTCTAAACACAAACTCTGCTTTCAATAACACAAAGCAGAATGTTTAGCTAAAATGAACTAGTTTACCATTTGCGCAGTCAAGCAGATTGTTTGTGAAAAAAGATAAGAAAAGCCTCCACATCTCCGTGAAACGCCTAAATTTACTATCAGCAAGTCTGACGTCTTGGCAGCTGCCCTGGAAACATCTGCAGGCACTATTTTCAGAGGAAGAACTCCAGAGTCTTTTTAAGTGACCGCACCCAAACAAAATGTACAAACTCAACCATAAAACAAAACCAAAAATAAATAAACAAATAACTAAATAAATCAGCTCATAAAAAATTTGTGTTGACTTGGCATTAAAATACAGCTTTCATACGCGAAGAAGCATGCAGCTTGGTGTTGTTTGGTTCCATTTCTGTTCAGGGTTATGGTGACTTGACCTCAGTAATTATGATAAAGCGGTCATAAATCAGCACGATTCCAGATCCTCCTAATTACAATATCAAAGCTCTGAAGTCTATTTGCACTCTGTTTACACACAAGTCTTAACTTTATGAACCTCAGCTGAACACTTTTATTGCAAGCTTATGATTGGCTGAACAGATTTAGGATTTTTTTAACCTTTTGAATCAGCAGATTGGGTTGTTTCTAGTTAAATAAAATTATTTTAAAGGTGAAAATGTAAAACCCTGGTAAACCACTGGAATGCTAAAATAAAAACCCACCAGTCCCTGAAGAAAATCATCTCACTCTTTACCTTTTCTGCTTGAGTGTTAATATCTTATGCTGAGAAAGGACATAGTTTTGGCCAGCTCGTGTTTTCTAAGATTGCTTAGCTGTGGCAGCCATCTTCAACCGAACAGACTCGAAAAGCAAATCAGTTGTAGTATGCTGGGAAGATGGCCGCATGAGTGCCTTTGTCTGTTCGGTACTCTCGTTAATCTCAAAAATAACTCCTGATCTAAGAGACTAAGTTGGTTAAAACGTTGGTCAGTGCTTGACCAAAGTCTTTGCTTTGTATAGAAGAAAAAGT